TCAGGGTGTACCTCTACCTCTACTCACATTTCAACTGCTCAATGGCCACATATAGCTAGTGGCTTCTGTATTGAACAGCACAGATTATACAATAATTCCATCATCTCAGAAAGTTCTATTGTGCAACAGTGCTAAAGAGTAAAGAAGCTCTTTTAGACTTGTTTATTAGCAATTAAGAGGTCTCCTTGCTTTTTCTCTTTTGGTAGCTACCACTGAAGGTCACCACTAAGCTGTCAGTAAAGTAAGACCCACAGTGAAAGTGCCAGAACCATCAGCTGGATTCACCATACTGTAGGGCTCTGCTGTCCAATGTAGTAGCTGGTAGCCAGATTAACACTTTAATTAGATTGAATTAAATTAAAAATGTATTTCCTTCATTGCACTAGCCACATATCAACTGCTCAATAGCCACATACAGCTAGTGGCTTCTGCATTGAGCAGCACAGATTATACAATAGTTCTGTCATCTCAGAAAGCTCTATTGTGCAACAGTGCTACAGAGTAAAGAAGCTCTTTTAGACTGTTCTTTTATATTATCCAAGAAAAATGATGAACACTTCACAAGAGTTCCAAGAGTGTAACTTATCACAGGTTACCCTGTGATAGTCCAGGCACCATCCAATCAGACTGAAGCCAAAGGGAGAAGAAACGATGTCTGTTCCTCCTCTAGGATCTTTAGTGAAGTCTCAGGCTAATTATTATATAAGAAAATCTTACAGAACTTGGGAGCCTATAAAAGAAGGCTCACTTATCTCCTAAGATTCATGGTAAGGATGAAGAGGAAGTTTAAAATAACATACTTGAAGAAAAAAAGAGAAAAGTGGAAGTCCACTTATTTTTAAAATGGTGATTGGAACATTGGAATTTATAACTTATTTGAACAGGTGATATGAATGATGTCCTTTCAAGTTGCTCACCCCTGTATTTCTACTTGACAACAATCTCAGTAGGAAACCAAACATTTAATTCCTAAGTTTGCATGTGAGTCAAAAAAAGGATCTTTTAATATTCCAATAACTAAGTTTTGATTCCTCAAGAGAGAGAACATTCTCATGTAAGAATAGGAACTAGAAACATTATAATAGAATATAATTATGCATTAGGGAAAAATAAACTAAGAATGTAAAGGGAAAGACTAAGATTTCTCTGGAATTTAGTGGCAAGGTTCAAATGCACTGCCTTTAGTAAAACAGCAACAGAGGCATTCCAGAGGATCAGGAAAAAGATATAACGAATCTTAGGACCCATAGAATTTTCATGGTGCTCATATAACAAGAACTGCAATCTGCACACTGTGTCATTTCAACTGTGAGAAAACAGGTGTTGAGACCTACTGAGCAGATTGAAAAACAAACAGACATTAGTCTGCTGCTTGTGGTGTATAGAGGTATTATTTTAACAGCATATATCTATAGCCCATCTTTCTCTTTAACCATTGGACTGCATAAATCCTAGTAACTCACAAAGCAAATTGTGTCAGAACAAATGAAGAAGAGCAGAGGAGTTTGAAATTTCACTTCCCAAGGCATTCCACAAACAAGCTTGCCTTTTTGTTCAAGTGAGGATTACTGAGGATGAGGGGAAGTAAATGAAGGAACAATTGGGCCAGTTCCTATTTTCTTAGATAGCAAAAACTAGTTATATTATGTACAAATAGATGTAATTTAGGGATTTTTTTCTAAAGAGGAGAATGATAAATTAAAATCCTTAAATCACAAGGAAGGTTGACGTTTTCTTCTGAAATACTGAACTTTCAGGCTCGGAAACTATATTATAGTTAAAAGAGCATTTAGAAGCCAGGAAATTCCAAAGCCAGCCCAGAGCAGTGCTTATTTGGACACATTACACATGGTACATATTTTACAGTGCATGTCTAACAAATAACTAGAAGATGGAAAAAAAGTGTCACATATTCAACATGGCAGTGTGAATTCTATAACAGAGGGAAGAACTTTGAGATGTCCTGAATGTTACTCTGAAACTAAATATTTTATTAATCCTATTTTAGCAATTTATTTTCCTTTTTTAAAAAAATTAGAACAAAAAGTCATCCCAGTTGAAAAAAATTACGTGTGTAAAGTACTATGTACATCACCATCCTATAAATCTAAGGCGGCAGTTCTTTCTTCTTTGGCAACTCTCTAAAAATCTCATGAAACAAATGCTTGTTTTCTTCAACCCCAGACCTTAATTTTCTGTCTTTGGAACTTAAAAATACTTACATAATTGTCTTCAAATATGGCTTGACTTTTCTTCCTTGATGGAAACAGCATTCTTGCCAACTTTAAAATTTATAGCTACAACCATATTTTTTTAATTTTTAAAAGCACAAAAAAACCACAACCCTTCAAAGTTATTTTGAAATGAACATTTCTTCATCTTCATAATCACCCCATGTCGACTCCAAGTCGACATACTAATGGAAAGGACATTTACCTCTGAATCTCAGGGCAAAATATCACATTTAGAGATAATGATATTAGCAACTAAAAAATGTTCCAGTGGCAATCATACTTAAGTCATTGTAACTTCATCACAAAGTAAAATGGTTCATGTAGTAATCAAATGTGTGTGTGTATGTACACACATGCACGCGCGTGTATGGGGAAAGAGAGAGAGGAGAGAGAGAGAGAAAGGATCTCTCACTTTTATAGACTACACCACAGTTTTTTTAAAAGCATTTCCACATAACTTCATTAATTTGATCTTCTGACAATCCTGAAAGGTATACAAGACAAGGATTATTATTCCATTTGACACATCAGTAAACAGATATAGAAAGGCTAAGTGCCTTGCCAAAACCCAAAGCTCATCAGTGGCATAACCTGGAAAAATAACCTAGACTGTTGACTCCCAGAACAGTCCTTTAAAGAAGGCTTATGTGTGCAGTTTAAATTAGATGAGAAATGTGTAGAGTTGCTGGATTTCTAAAGCAGTTTTAACTATGCTTCTTTTTCTCCCCAGTATCATTAAAGATTCATAGTCTATCTCACTGCTGGAAAAACAGAACCAGTCACCTGGATTACAGAGAGACTACATTAAAAGACTGTGTTTGGAAGTATTAAATTTGAAAAATCACATGCCCTTGATCATTTATAAATCAATATGATCAATATAAAACTGTAGTCCAACAGCTTCTAAGACAGCAAATATTGAAAATTATTGAAAAAGAAACTCTAGCTCATTTATCACAGAAAAAAAAGTTTCAAGAAGAGTATAAAAATGAAATTTAAATTGAAGCATGGGTTATATAGTATGTTTAAACTTGAACCTTTCTAAATAGATTATGACTTTTTCTACATTTTCCCCTCTAATTGGGGTACCACAACAAAGCAGCATCCTTTCTGCTTTTAAGTTATTGTGTCAAGTTTACATCAACATCTACGTTTTCGTAAGAACCTAACTGGCATTTATAATCCATGAAAATCATCCTTAAAGGGAGCATTCCTGTTATTTTAACTGTTTCAAGGATTTGTTTGTCTTTTAAACTCCTCAGAGAAGCAGTGAGGAAAATGAAGAATGTGTCAGTTTAAATTTTTCCATGTGTGTCTCTATACATCTCAATTATGAAAATACAAAAAGTTTTTTTCTTTTTCTTCACCCCCTCCCCTGTAGAAACTAGAGTAGAGCTTGGCACAGGCTACCTGGACTCCTTCACTGACTGTGGAGGAGAACTGGAAAAAATTCTCAGATCCCTTTCCAGATCTAGGGATAAGGATGCACATTACAGTCTAGGTGATTCTGCAGAAGGAAAGGAATATGCACATGGTGAGAGTCATGGAGCTAAAGAGAGGGGGGCAAGCCTGTGCAAAATGCCTGTGGAGCAAATACCTATCAAGAAGCGGGCATGGGCAGTGTGGCTGCAAAGGAAACTAGACCAGGGTATATATTTATCTTTGGGTTCTAACAAGATTACATGTATACTACGGACAGAAAACGGTGGAAGAAAACTTATCTGCCACTCACTAGTAATAGCCACTGGATGCAAAATATATTTACACAATTGGCTAGACCATCACAACCACAGCCAAATTTAGGATAAGATAATTTTCTATTGGATGATTGGGCTTTTTCTCCCTAAAACTTGACTATAAATTCCTCAGGCCACTGTTTAGTTTAGGTTACAGGGTCTGCATATCTGTTTCTTCTAGTCAGAATGTAATAAAATAAATTAGCTTAACATTTTGTCACGTTTTATTTTTTATTTGTCCCTGTTCTTGAATAGTCAGTTTAAGTAAAAGTACATAGACTCTTTTATTTTACATTTTATATAAAATAGGCTATATTTTATATATTTGAAGTTGGAACCACTTAAATGCCAAAAATATATTTTAGAGGTAGTATCAAGATTATTTAACTCAAACAAAAATAGGTTTCACTAATGGGCAGGAAAAAATAGTGAATTCAGGTTCTTAAAAATGTCACACAATAAACAGCCAATTCTGAGTAACTAACCATAATGTTTGCATGATAATGTATATGAAGCATGGCAATATTTATATATACACTTTATAGAAAAGAAAATATTCATCCTGACAGATTACATAAATTTCACAAAGGAAAGTTTTAAAAAAAAACAGGTCTCTAGATTCTCACTTAGAAAAGTTAAATAGTTTGTATCCTGTAAATTACACGTGATACCTCAAATTTATGTGAAAAACTGTTCCACTCAAAATTTTAAACGTGCATTAACTACCACTTATCTATAGGAGATCAAGTACAAACTGCAGAACATCATCCAAAAATGATGAGATGATGAGTATCTAAGGCATATATGACTTCATATGTAGCATAATAGAGCCAACTACTTTATTGAGAGAATAGTAAATATCCCTGCCCTATGACCACGGAGCTCAGACTTCCTAAATAAGTAAACTGAAAGTTAATCTTGACACAAATTGTACTCTCAAAAGGTGGTGAAACTGTAGCAAAAATTCACAATGTGTGTTTGAGACAGATCAACCGGAGGAATGCATGTGACAATCAAGTGTTTCACGTACTTTGCAAAGCCAATAAAGTCTTCGTGGTTGGTATTGATGTAAGAGACTTGAATGTCAATCAGTAGCAATACCTGTAAGTCAAAGAGAAACACTTCAGTGAAAGCCAATCTAAAAATTCTCAAATATTAAATTCAGTAATTGCCCACAAATTAATTACCTTTATGTAATTTTTTAAAGGATACTTCAATTAGAATGAAAAGTAAACTTAACTTTTCTTTATTAGACTCATAATTTTACACTCTAAATTTGTAAGTTAAAAATCTACTAGAAAAGTAAATCTGGTATCACATGAAGAAAATAGCATAGACTATTTATATGCATAGGCGTATACTATTCACTAACTTAATACAGAGGTATAGACTATTTGCTAACTTAATACAGAATCAAGAATTATTTGATTTCTCTAAAATGTAGGCATAGTGTTCAAAAGAACGGCCAGCATAAATAAAAAGATGTGTGGCAGGAAGGCCCATGAGGGGTTGCTCTGAGCTTACTGCTTTTGCAGACATCATATATCAGCCACAAATTAGTAATTCACTTCTTGTTTTCTCTCTCCTCTTCTACCTTTATCAGCTTAAAGAACCATCTCAAGATGCTTTACACATTTCAAGAGAAGCATTTCATCAGACAATTCAAAAAGGCAACATACAAATAAATCATTAAATTCAAACATCAATCAGAAGCTGGGCATGGTGGTGCGTGCCTATAATCTCAGCTACCCTGGAGGCTGAGGTGAAAGAGTCACTTGAGCCCGGGAGTTCAAAGCTGTAGTGAGTCATGATCAGGCCTATGAATAGCTACTGTATTTCAGTCTGGGCAACACAGCAAAACCCCATCTCTTAATAATAATAATAGTAATAGTAGTAATGTCAGATCTCTGCTAAAATATCACTCATCAGAGGATCTTCCCTGACCATTCTATTTAAACTAGCACTCTTTTTATTCTCTATTGTTATTCTGCCTTATTTTCTTTTGCAGCACTAACACTAGCTAACATAGCAAGTTTTTACATATTTCTTATATAGACCTCATCTGTCGTGGCCATTGTTACATCCCCAGTGCCTAGAACAGTGCCTGAAACATCATGAGAATTAAATGAAGATTTGTAATGGAGTAAACTGGATACATGTCCCAGGCAACATGAAAATATTCTAATCATAAGACATTCATAATCTCTAAGTCAAAGACTTGGAAGGTCCCTCTGTGGAAAATAGTATTCAATGGGGAGACAAGGAGCCTGAGAGAAAACAAGAGGGAAGTGGAGCAACCACAACCTGCAAAAACAGAGGGTATTATTCCAGAGATATTCAAAACTGACTTCCTCTTCCTACATGCCTTGTATTCTCCCAGCTGAGTCCCGTCTCTTTCTAGGGTGCTGAGATTTGCTGAGGGGGGAAATACAGAGTTTACAAATCTCTGCCTGAATATCTCCAGAGCTCTGTGCTTCGACTTTGTTGGATAAATTTTGGTGACTACTGTGAGTATTTGTTTGCTGCCTCCCTTCACTGAAGGTAGCATTTGAGTGCATCAGTCCTCATGATAACAGTTCACAGACATATTCTACATGTGGGTATTTCCTCAAGAAAGCCATCCCTGATCCTTACCCCTACCCAACCCAAGACCAGGTTGAACTGTACTAGTACTCTCATATAGTCTATATATCATAATTATATGCATATATAAAAGTATGTATATGTATAAAATTATGTATTATATAAAATATAGGGTGCTATATATTCACATATGTATATATATGCATATATGTGTTCACATATATACATACATATACATGTATATGTATACATATATAAGCATATATATGTATGTATGAGTATATATGTATATACATATGTACGAGTATATATGTATGCATGTATACATACATATGCATATGTACATGTATATATATACTATATATACAAATATATATGTGTGTGTGTGTGTATGTATATATCTATAGAGCACCCTATACTTATTTGTGGCATTTACTACAAATGTAATTAATTATTTATATATTTTTTGTTTAATGTTTCTCTTCCCTGCAAGACTGTAGAAGCTGGGATTATGTTTATCTTGTTCACCGTTTTATCCTTAGAACTTAGAACCTAGTGTGCCCAATAAATATTTGTGGCTTTAATTATGTAACTATCTACCAGGCTTGAAGAACAGTTAACTCTCTTTTTTTGTTGTTGTTTTTTGAGACAGAGTCTCATCTCACTCTGTTTCCCAGGCTGGAGTGCAATGACATGATCTTAGCTCACTGCAACCTCCGCCTCCTGGGTTCAAGTGATTCTCCCACCTCAGCCTCCCAAGTAGCTGGGATTACAGGTGCCCATCAACATGCCTGGCTAATTCTTGTATTTTTGTAGAGACATGGTTTCACCATGTTGGCCAGGCTGGTCTTGAACTCCTGACCTCAGGTGATCCACCCGCCTTGGCCTCCCAGAATGCTGCGATTACAGGCATGAGCCACCACCTGGCCAAGAACAGTTAACTTCCAAGGGAGCAATTTATTCTCATATATATAATTAGTATGTGGCCACTTGTTCCTGTTTTGTACTCAGAACCCACTGCTATGGGCTCTGAGGCTTTGCTTTTGTGGCTAATCTCAACCAGTCATCTGACCAAATCTTGCTGAGAGTCACAAGGGAACCTGCCAAAAAAGGATTTAAAAGTTCACTCCAAATCCACTCCCACTACCAAAAATAAAGTCAAGGAATGGGAGCTATTGGATCAATAACATCATACTTGTATGAAAAAAATTTCACAGTCAGATACAGTTGTGTTTCATATCTTGAAGAAAACTGAAACATTGGGAAGCATGATCATTATTGGATTAGTTGTATTTTTGCCTCTCTTCTCCCAACAATAAAGCCAGATTCTATTAAATTGTTTACTCCAAATCCATTTGGCCAAAAGTTTGTACCAATAAACTGTAATATTTAAACATAAATACACTGTTGCCACCATAAGGAGCAAAATATCTACATAATTCTCAGCATCGCCAAAGGTTGTCATGAATATCTTTTGGACATTCACACACATTAACTTGGACTGCAGTATAGGAAAAAAGTGGAAAAAAATAAAAGCTATGGCTGTTCTCATTCATATTCCTGGAAACTGGGAGTCTGTGTTCACTCTAGGAAAAGAGCCAGGTCACATATGGGGGATGAAAAGAAAAACAGCCCATTTTTTTTCTCATTTTTTCACTTTCTCAGAGATTCTCACTGCCTTTTTCACCCACAGTTATTGAATATTTAGTTGAAGAAAAGTAAAGCTACCCCTGGTAGCAGTAATCACCCAGAAAGTCCACTGCTTCAACATGCAATTACATATATGGGAGCACCAAGACAAGCAGCTGGCACACTCAGACATTCAGAAAACCACTGCTTAAGAAAAAGCTACAGAGAGATATATGGCTTTCCATATTTTTAATTTTGAAGATTTTTTTCCCACAAAGCTTCCAGAGCAGAAGTTGGTAGTAATTCTACTTTTTAAAGAAAAAAAGAAAACTCTGAGAATGCCCCAGAGCTGCTCAGGCACAGAGGCCTGAGGATATGGGTCGCTCTGTCTGACTGGATACTTTAAACGTATCACATGGCCCCAGGCAGCACAGAGTCCAGAATTCAAATGTGAGATCTATCCAAAATGACATGTCCACACTACCAAAACCAAGCATATTTCTGCTATGCCACACAAGTCTGCATTAGAGGTGATCACTACCAGCTGTGACTAGGCACTTGATAACTGTTGGACCAGACCACCTGAGACTGTGACTTAGTAGGGAGATGCCTGCGCTATCTTCCACTTGGGGAATAAATTAATTGTATCTGAGTTACAGATTGAAAACAATTTCCCTTGAAATTAGAAAAGGCAATTCTTCCTTGAATATTATATTAATATTATATATATATATTATATATATATAATATATATAATATATAATATATAATAATATTATATATATATAAAACAATATATATATTATTTAAATTTTGTTTAAATTTTGTAGAGACAGGGTTTCACCGTGTTTCTCAGGCTGGTCTCAAACTCCTGACCTCAAGCAACCTGCCGGCCTCAGCCTTCCAAAGTACTGGGATTACAACTGTGAGCTACCACACCTGGCCTTGTATTTTGCTTACTTCTTTCCATCCTCACGAAATGCCTGTGAGTTAACGATCACTATTGTCTGTTTTTAAGATGAGGAAAATGAAGTGCAAAGATGTCAAATAACTTGTCAGAAGTGACACAAAAAACAACAGAGCTTGAATTCAAAGTCAGATAGTCAGAACCCAGACCCCACAATCTTACAACATTGTGAAGTTTGAACATGCCATTTCACTAGAACAAAAACTCTGAAATATGAAGACGTTAACACCTGACATGGATGTGTTATTTAAAATATTTTAAATGGTTTGAAATATTTAAAATGGTTTAAAAAATAATTATACTATATTTTCTTCAATATTATTTTGACAGAGGATCCCAAAGAGTTAAGTAAGATTTATTATCATTTGAATATTATGGACAAAAGATACTAAATTAAACAGTTAGCTTATTTACTTAAGGTCAGGAGTACAGCTGATTCTTAAGAACTTAAGTTTTCTCAGCCCAGGAGGGGCCAAGACTTTAGACATTAGGGAGAACCTTTGGCCCTGAGGCTCCATATCCGGCTCTAGGCTTGATTTCACTGACTCAGGAGTTAATACTGACTTGTTTATCTCAACTACGTCATAAAGTCTATTTTCTCCTCTTTTGGGTATTGCAGCTATCCAAGAGTGTGAAACCTGATGAACAAGAAAAGACTATAAATAATTATTAACTTTCAAAATACAATGGTAAAAAGTAGTGAAAATGAATTCACAGCTCAAGCAGAGAAAAGGTGGTTACTAGAATCACTCACAAATGTCCCAACCTGCTGGGTCTCCATCCCTCTGTCCTTCCTTTTCTCCCCCACCCGCTCCTCTTCCCCACATACACTCTATATGCTATGTGTGTCTCTCCCTGTGGTTTGTTCCTCTCTCTTTTGTCTTCTTCCTTTTCCCTATTTCTCCCTCACCTCCTTCCAACTCATCTGAGAATCACAAAATCTTGGAATACTAAACTGCAGGGGCTTTCAGAGAGCATATAGGCTGACATACTAATGCCATACATGAGAAAACAACAGCCAAAAGAAGTGATTTGTACAAGAACATGGTGTTATTTTGTGGCAAGCACGTGACCTAAGTCCAGTGTTCTCTCCACAAGATCACATGTGCAGCTGTGTCATGGAATTCAAGGGTATGTAAAACCCTTTGTATTTCCCATTATAATGTTTTATAAGTAACTAAGAAAAATCCATTTAAACCTAAGAAGATTTTTATTCTTTCCATTTAGTCCCTTACTTTTTAAAATGAATTATCCTCACTGAAAATAATATTTCCAAATCACAGAGCTAGGATTAGAAAACAATTTCAGGGTCACTCCTTCCAACCAAATATATTCACAAAATAGAAATGTTTAAAAGAGTAATTCTCAACTTTTTTTTTCAATCATAGGATATATGGATAAGCTGACGAAAAGCTAGGTCCACTCTCCTCAGAAAAAAATAAAAACACTGAGAATTTTAAATAATGTTTTAGGAGTTTGTGAATCTTATGGAGTCTATCTGTGGGCCCCTTTAAAAGTTAAGAACTCCTGTCTGAAAGAGAAAATGTGGTATGTTTCTGAATTTGTGGTTTTCAAAGTAGGATGTATGTATGATCTATGGAACATTGAGGAAAAAAATAATGAAACTCTTATTACTGCTTTTGCATCTCATTCTTCTGAAGTCTTTTTATTTGCTCATATTTTTAATATAAATATTAATATAGTATGTGTATAATTTATAAATAAGTAAAAATAAATATAACGTAGTTGTGTTCCACCATTTTTTTTTTCCTTTAAGCGACAGGGTGACTGTTGGGAACTACCAGACAATGTTTCAGAGATCTTTGACCTCCCACCATCCCCATGCCCACCAAAGACCTCTCCTTACCTGGTCCTTTGTCTTCCCTTCTCGCTCACGAATGTGGTTAGCAACAATCCTTTCTGTTTCCTCGCAGAGTCTGGGGAAGTTTGCCAGCTGTCAAGAAAAGCAGATCTGAGTATTAGTACTCAAAAAGTTACACCACCAAAAGAGAAGCAGAGATAAATTATGTTACTTTACAAAGATACTCATTGCCATTCTGGAAGCAAAAATGAAATATCATCAACTCCTAAAGAAGAATGTCAAGGTGATGGGAGAGGCTTCACAAACTGTCATCAGAAGTAACCTTGTTATGTGAGAGGAAACGCTTCAAAACCAGCAGAGCAATTCCCTAGGAGAAAAACAGAACCCTAGATACCATCTAGCACTGTGCTCTGCTGAGTTAGCACTTAATAAAGTTCAAAGATGAAGAAGAAGGAAAAGAGGACAAAGAAAAGGATAATGACTAACATTTTATATAGTGCCTATCATGTGCCAGGCTAAAGACTTCATCAATTACCTCCTTTAATATTCACAGCAATCAGAAAAGAGAGATATAATTAACCCCATTTATTATTTATTTATTTATTTAATTTTTTGAGTCAGAGTTTTGCTCTCATCGCCCAGGCTGGAGTGCAGTGGCGTGATCTCAGCTCACCACAACCTCTGCCTCCTGGGTTCAAGCGATTATCTTGTATCAGCCTCCTGAGCAGCTGGGATTCCAGCCATGCGCCACCACACCAAGCTAATTTTTGTATTTTTAGTAGAGACAGAGTTTCACCATGTTTGCCAGGCTGGTTTCAAACTCCTGACCTCAGGTGATCTATCTGCGTTAACCTCCCAAAGAGCTGGGATCACAGGTGTGAGCCACCATGCCTGGCCAACACCATTTAATAGAGGAGAAAAGCACAAAGAGGTTAAGTAACTCATGGCCGTGACTGAACAGCTCAGAAATGGTGGGTTCAGGATTCTAACCTAAGTTCTAGGACTCCAGAGCCCATTACTCTTCAGGGATGATTCATCCCATGAAGCACAGAGAGACTCTTTTAACTTTTTAAATTCTCCCCATAGAAAATAGATAAGTATATGTACATTTTTTTTTTTGCAAAACTATGAAAATGGTGTGTGTCAATCACCCACCCCATCTAAGTTATATAGGTAATTGTTCAAAACATAGTTTGCAAAAGTGAAAATCTAGATTAATTACAGTTGTTTTCAATATAAGGAAGAAAGAGAATGGGATGCTATGAGAATGTTTAAGGAACCCTAATCCAGAGGGACTTAGACAGGGAAAGGTGTGTGAGAATGACCATGGAGAAGATGAAGCTTGCCAGGAACAGGAAGATGTGTGAAGTCATGGTGGAAGTGGGGGCAATTAGTGGTGACAAAAGTAAAAGAAAATCAGTGCAGAAATTGAGGAAAATGATCCCGAGACAAAGCTAGAAAAGTAGAGAGGGGCCACATCAAGCAGATCCTCGCAATTCTGTTAGGAATTTAGGCTACTGAAGCAATGCAGATGGAATGGAAATAATGGTGGCTTCTACTGGGATGATAGCCATAGAAATGGAGAAAAATGGAAACATTCATGACTTATGCCAGCCAAAATATTAATTCCAATTATTATTTTTAAAGTGCTTCCAAATTAATAAGATTAATAAATAGCTCAATAAAATAGGCAAATAATGTGATTTAATTTGTAAAAAATGCAATCGTCAATAAGCAGAAGGAAAAACAAACTGTAAAAGTGATCTAATGCAAGGAAAGGCAATAACTCATGCCCATGATTGGCAAATTGCTATAATTTTTTATGACTTACTGCAGGTGAAGGTATATTAAGATTAGCACAATTTAAACTTGCTAAGGGGTGTCAACAAGAGAAATCGCTCTGGAAAGCAATTTGACATTATGTATCAAAAGTCTTACACACATACACACACACACACACACACACACACATACACACAGAGAGAGTGGGAGAGAGAGAGATCTCAATGTAATAACCTCACAGAAGTCTGAACTACAATGATGAGGACATTCATCCCAGCATTCGTTAGAAAAGCAACAATAAGATAAACAAATAAAACTATAAACTACCTAGTATCCAATGATGTTAAATAAATTAAGGTAGATCCACTTATATAATGTAATGTAGCCATTTCAAATCATACTTTTAATACTATCTAATGATATGATAAAGTATTTACAACACTAAGTGAAAAAATTAGGCTACTAAATATATAATGTGATTATGCACAGGCATAATGTTTTGGTTTAAATATTTGTTCCCTCCAAATTAATGTTAAAATTCAATCCCCAATGTGGCTATCTTAACAAGTAGGGCCTGCAAGAAGTGATTGGGTCATAAAGCCTCTGCCATCATGAGTGCATTAATCCATTAATGGATTAACAGGTTATCATGGGAGTGGGACTGGTAGCTTTAAAAGAAGAGAACTAAAGACCTGAGCTAGCACACTACCACACTCAGCAGCCTTACAATATGATTGATACCCTGCACCACCTTGGGACTCTGCAGAGACTCCCCACCAGCAAGAAGGCCCTTACCAGAGGTAGACCCTCAACGCTGGAGTCCTCCGCTTCCGTAACTGTAAGAAATAAATTCCTTATGTATAAAGTACCCAGTTTCAGGTATTTTGTTATAAGCAACAGAAAATGGACTAAGACACATCCACACACATGCACATACACACAGTCACATGCCACCACAAACCCTTGATCTTTTTCAAGGATATAGCCCAATCTTACAAATACCAAAGTTCTTCAATAATACTGTAGCACATAATATGTCTCCAAACTTGTAAGGAGTTAAATCTTGGCCTCCCTGAAATGTGGCTTCTGTACGATCACGTGGGGTTACTGTGCACATCAACTTTATCGCATACACAATGTATATTAGTGTCTTAGCAAGATAACTGCAGTATTTCATGGAACCATCATAATCACAAGATCACATATATGTTAAATCTTCTATTGCTGCATGTCTACTCTCTGTGCATAGAAAAAGGTTTTGCACAGATACTATAAAGTGTTAATAGAGATAACTCTTTGAATTATGCATAATTTTATTTATCTATATTTCCAAATATTTCTACAGACTATGTTCATAACATCATAAAACATAGAAACAGAGAAAACATAAAAACATAGAAACCTGGCTGCTTGGGTTACCTCAAAAATCATCACCAGAGTCTCCATGAGGCCCTCAATTCCTCACCAGCTTACTGGCTCTTATCTGAATCCTGAGATGTATGCTCATCTGGGGGCTTATTTTATGAATTATTGCAAGATACAAATGGAACTCATACTTTCCATTTTAGAAACATTCTCCAGAAAAAGTTCTATCATACCAGAACCCCTCTTAACTCTCTGAAAATCCTGAAAGTTATTTTTTGTGAGGCTTATAAAAGCCTTCAGAGTGGAAGAGACAGCTGATCAATTTCATTCCTTCTTGATTAGTGCAAACCTGGATGGTGCATCTGACACCAACCATTAGTCTGCCCTAGGCCACCAGAGCAATCTATTCCCCCTGTATTCAGATAGCCTCCCAAGCTATTCAATGACAGCCATACTATTATAGGATCACATTGCTTCAGAGAAGTAACTACACAAGCAATCGAGGTCTACCAAGGAAGAGTGGGATGCTTTTAACAACATTTAGAAAATAGATTACAGCAGAAAGTTATTTTTAAAACCACCAAATAGTGGCAATATAAATATTTATTCAGAAAGTAAACACTTGATAGCTGAAGGACCCCAGGCCAGTACATGACCATCATTAAGTCCGGGAAAGGCCAAAATGACAAGAATATCCCATGAAGCAGAGACATCTAAGAATGCCTCCAATCTACAGGAGGATTGATTTGTGTGCATGTGTGTATCTCCTGATCTTTCCAAGCTTACTGCCCATGGGCTTAATTCTACCAGGAAAGGAATCTGTAAGAGCCACAATTTTGTACCTACAGTTGAGACAACTGGAAGTCAATAAGCCTAAATTCCAAGTGGAGCAAAAGAAAAAGAGAACACACTAGAAGAACTACCATTATGGAGACAAAAAAGGAAAACCTTGAAGAGACAGTAAGCAAGGTAAGATCTAGGCATCACTGAATGGCATTAACAAAACAACTGGTTTGGTTACTAGCTGGTGGATATTGAACTGGCTATGGGAGTACACTAATCAAAATCTTGCTTTTAACTGCCGACTTTCAAATATAAAGCTCTAGTCCCAATTCTTAAGATACATACATACAGAGGGTTTAAAAAAAGTCCTACTGACATTTAAAATAATTTCTGATTAGACTTTCTACCACTCATTTTATTATCTCATTTAATCTCATAATGAGCTTATTTCATGATACCATTCAAACTTTGCCCTGCTCAGTTTGTGTCACTGTTTACTTAGCTTTAAAACATACTTAACTGATTGCTCAATTCAGTCCCTCATCTCTCTTCTGTGTTTCTTATTTAATGTGCAATCACTGTTTCCTCAATCATTTATACCATTATAATTGTCAGTCACTTTTGCTCTGAATGTCAAATTAAAAGCCTACAGTTATAAGAATACAGGAGCTCTTATCTGTCAAAGTCATCAGAATATTAATCATGTATGCCTAATTAATATTGACCTAGAAGATGTCATCTTTAGACCTTTGTTGCCCTAATGATTAATTAAATAACCTATAAATTGATTTATAGGGCCAAGGGATTAAAGCTCTGGTATAAATTATAATAATTACATTCCTAAATTTATATCATATCAGTCATTCATTGGGCAACTGCTATAGTCCAGCTCAATGTTCAATCACGTGTTATGTCATGGCATCTGACATTAGAAACAATACAGTCTTGAGTAGCAGGTTGCCTATACAGATAAATAGTCATACATGAGAAATATTTTTTTAAAACCAAGGGGAAACATGAAGAAATAAATGCATGAACCAGCTATGAGATGTCCTCTGAGGATTTGATGCTTACCTAATAGTGAAACTTGTAGTCAAAGCTGTACATTTATTAAACAGCAAATGAGTTCTAAATAGCTTATTGTTCAAATTGCATTATTTTTTTTTTTTGAGACACAAGACAGAGTCTTGCTCTGTTGCCCA